CTTCGCAAATGCTCACCAAATCGACTTCTGAGGCTTCTTTTTAGTTGCTTGGTGTAGTACTGGTTCATTTTCCTCACACTGCTATACAATTGTACAATGGAAAATTATTCAAATTACCATAATTTATTTGGGTCTGCTGATCTTCCAGGTAAGTAACACGTCGTTGTACATCACTTATTTGGTCTTGTGTAGAGCTCACTTTGTCGCACAGAGAACTTTGATCCTGCTTGATGACCTCTTGTTCTTGCTTGATGACCTCTTGTTCTTGCTTGGTAATCTCTTGTTCTCGTTCTGCAACAGCAACTTGTTTGCCCAAATGTTCTCCCAGATATGCGACACGTTGCTGCACATCTTCTTGTTCAGATTTAAGCTCACTTATTTGTTCTTGTGTAGTGTTCACTTTCTCGCACAGAGAGCTTTGGTCCTGCTTGATGACCTCTTGTTCATGTTCTACCATGGCAACTCTTTCCCTCAATTGCTCCAGAACTAATTGAGAGTCATGTAGCGCCTTCTTTACATTCTCTCTGTTTACCTCTTCTTCAAATGCCATCTTGTCTATGTCATTCTTCAATGCACTCACATCTTGTTGAACCGTCTTTATCAGATCAGGGTCAATGGTAGCATTCATGCACAGTATAGCACCTTTGAGAGAAGAAAGGTTTGAGTATTAATACATATGCTTTAATTTGTGTTAACGAAAATTGTTATCGAAAGCCTTCTCCGACAAGGTCCCAGTGTTAAAGCATTTTTGTGTTCTGTTAACGTGATCCAAGCAGGACGGTAGGGCTCTACTTTTGTCTGTTATTCCCAATCAAGGAATAGTTTACCTATTTACCATTAACTAAGAAAGGCACTCTTTACACTGTCAGGTTAAGGCTGGTATATTAGTTGTCTAATTTACCATTTCAAAGGATAGGTTGTGGGTCCTGCTTGACTGAACCAGTCATAGTGTGTTTTGTCACATCTATTTACAATCCTCAATTCTTAGATTTGAATCGGTTAATTGAAAAGCAAACCAAAAGAATAACAATAAAAACTGTTTCAGTTTGTATTGTATTTTTGTATTTCTCCACTTGACGATGTCAATACAGTATTGTTAAAAATAAAATGCGGTGAAAAGAAAGTGGAAAGGACAAAATATAATAAACTAAATATATGCCCTTTATTTAATACACTTATTTTGGTATAAAAGAGAATTAGTATATGAGAGGAAAGAGTTAACATATAGCAAATAAAATAGTAGTTTTTGTAACACTTATGAATTAATAATACTAGGCAAACTAAAACTGGTAATTAAAAGTCTTTTCTAAAATAGTTTTCCAGTCGGCGTATTTCGTATACAGTGTAGATACTTGAATGTCATTCCAATAATAGCATACAATAATAGTTGGGCAAAACTGTTTTAGCTGCTGCGTTATAGTTAATATACCAACTGCAATTTTGAAACTGGTGACTAAAATTAAACGCGTTGGGAGCTTGGAGACCACAGGAATACTGCTCGCGAGCTTAAACGCTCAATCATCCAGACTGAAAATGTCCAGGGGACGACTGCGCATTCAGTTTGAAATATAAACTGTTGACTATACCTTTTGTTTGCCAGTCTTTCAGTTCATTTACAAGGTACATCTCATCAGCTTTTGGCCGACGCAGGGATTTTACCAGCGTTTCCATCTTAGCAAATCTCTGTTGAAAACTTAATAGGTCCCAGTCCTTGAATACACAGTGTGCCCAGGCATTTCTAGCTTGTCTAACATCACCAGCAGCACTCTGCACAGCCAATGAGAAGACTGGCACTTTACCAAGCAAGGCAAGCACGGCAGATGCATCACAGTGTTCATCAAAGGCGTTAAACTTGGCCATGTGTTTCTCTACATAGAGCTTGGCAAAGTCAACATGTGATGTCACTTGGCAGTCAAACTTGGAATAATCATATCTTCCACCTCGCAGCCTCGGAAATACATCATTACCATTGATGTTCTCGTACTTTAGAAATGTTGGCCAATTCTGTAGTCGCCCAGATGTGCTTTGAGTGTGAATACTGTGGCTGCGTTGAAGATTACCATACTCCTTCTGAACTTCTTGCTCTACAAACGAACGTATTTGGGAGACCAGGACTTTGTTGAGTGCAATTCCAAAGGCTAACCATCTTTTCTGGTTGTCAGTAACGTTCTGTAGTGTAGACCTAAATGTGCACGTATCAAGAATAAAAATCATTTTAAAACCACTAACTGTAATTTTACAGTTTATTATACACGCTTGGGGGAACATTATGTAGTTGTCGGTTGTAACAACCCTTTACAGTTAGAGGCAAAGTGTACATGTATATGAATGTTTCTATTAACAACTTCCTTCCATGAAATCAGGAGCAATTTAATTTAAAATATTAAAACTGAATATTTAATATTACATAACTATCAAAATAAAAATGTTATATACAGTCAAAACTCTTCACAGCGGCCACCTTGAGGTTAGAGTGGTGACTGTTGACGAGAGGTGGCCGTTATGGTAAGGAGGGGTGTAATATGACACCTGTTTTTTTTTTTGTTTTTTTTTTTTNGCAGAGTGGTGACCGTTGACGAGAGGTGGCCGTTATGGTAAGGAGAGGTGTAATATGACACCTGTTTTTGTTTTTTGAGAATGCAGCTTTTTTGGCATTTTGCATATAACTACATAACAAAAACAAAATATATCAGCAAAACAAAAATCAAACAGAAACCGAGACCAACGAGGTATGGTATGGATCAAGTTTTGTGAGCTTTTGTATACACTGTTCATCAGTCATTGATTCACTGGCCATGCACTGCGGAGGCTATTTGACAGCTGTGGCGTGGTTTAGTGGCCGTTGCCTTTCTCTAATAAGGTGGCTGTTGTAGAGCGTTCAAAATCAGAGTGACTCCATGGATTGTTGACCGGGCGAGATGGCCATTAGTGGAGGTTCAACTGTATTATCAAGTATATTGTATTTGCATGCTGGCACTTCTTGAATTACACTGTTAGTACAGGTAATCGTACGATTCGACTGCGACTGCAATCTCAGTGACTCTACAGACACTTAAGAGCTCTGCAAACTCAACTCACCCTGTAGTTACTACAGCTGTCATTGTTAGATTCCCTTAGTGGAACAGCAACAAATGTGACTCTGTTTGTGTTAACTCATCTCTTCATTGCAGTCTTGGAACTAATAAATAAATGTGATGATGATGCGTTAAAAAAAAAAGACATCTGAAAAAATGAACATATATCAAACACCACATTCAAAGACCCCTCTGAAATATTACACAGTACAGCATTAAACCACTGACAGTATTATCACAGATTCTCAAAAATGTACTTGGATAACAATTCTAGCTTGTCATCAGTCTACGTCACCACATAGTCACATGAGATGCGAATGTGTGTTGCTGGTCAGTACTTTGCGTTTCGCCAGGAATGTAGGTTTCGCGAGTGTCTCTGTCTTAAAATCATTGCAAATCTTCAGCCTCATCCACATTTTTTTAGATATTTGTTTAGTACGTGGAAAGAAAGGTAAGCCCCAATTTTCAGTGACTTACAAAGTTTTTCCACAGATCAGGGCAAGGAGGCAAGGAGATGAGGATGCCAGGACAAGAGCATGCGAGGAGGTGGAGGAAGCAGGGAAGCGGGGAAGTGGGGAAGGGGGGAAGTTGGGAAGCGTGAAAGTGGGGAAGGGGGGAAGTTGGGATAATGGCAGAGGAAAGAACAAGTTGTTCATTAAGGTAGTGATGAAATTGACTCTTTAATTTATGTATCTTTTCTTAGCATAAACAGCATATTTGTATTTTCTAAGTCAGTTTCATGAAAGTCAGTTGATGGAAATCGCCAGACAGACAAAAAAAGATTTCACAAGAACAAACTGCTTTCCTAATTTTAAAAAGGCTTTTAAAAAGCAAAATAATATTATTTGGCAACTCTTATTCATGAGCAGTGCAACTAAAATACATTTTAGACAAGCACTTTTGGTTTTCAGATCAAAAAAGTTTTTAATTCTATGATGGCTCTCCATCCTCAGTTAGCTAGGACAGAACAAAGCAAACCTGGCAAAAATTGGTGATAAAATAAAGTTGAAGCAGCCATCTTAACCTTTTCTCTTTGGCCAGGGAAGCATGGAAACAGAGAAACAAGGAAACAAATAACCTGAGACAAGGAGGCAAGGTGCTAAGGAAGTGGGGAGGCGGGGAAAGGGGGGCAGATCATGGAAGCAGGGAAGCAGGAAAGCATGGAAGCGGGAAAGCTGGAAAGTGGGGAATTGGGGAAGCAGGGAAGCAGGGAAGCAGGAAAGCAAGAAAGCAGGCAAGTGGGGAAGCAAGGAAGCAAGGAAGCAAGGAAGCAGGGAAGCAGGGAAGCAAGGAAGCGGGGAAGCAGGAAAGCAAGGAAGCAGGAAAGTGGGGTAGCAGGGAAGCTGGGAAGCTGGGAAAGAAAGTAGGGAAGCAGGGAAGTGGGGAAGCAGGGAAGTGAGGAAGCGGGGAAGCAGGGAAGCAAGGAAGTGGGAAAGTGGGGTAGCAGGGAAGAGGGGAAGCAGGGAAGCAAGGAAGCGGGGAAGCAAGGAAAGAAAGTAGGGAAGCAAGGAAGTGGGGAAGCAGGGAAGCAAGGAAGCGGGGAAGCAGGGAAGCAGAGAAGCAGAGAAGCAGGGAAGTGGGGAATCAAGGAAGAGGGGAACTGGGGAAGTGGGGAAGCGTGGAGGTGGGGAAGCAGGAAAGCGGGGAAAGCAGGGAAGCAGGGATTTGGGGAGGAAGCGAAGTGGGGAAGTGGGGAAGTGGAGAAGCAGGGAAGCGGGAAAGCAGGGAGGACATGTTCATCCCTTTCCAATGAGGTGCCCTGAGGTCTCCAAGGATGATGGCTGTCTGTCTAAAGGAAATCATAAAAGCTTTCTCTTGCTCAGGCATGGTTACTTACCAGAGCAAAAGACTAAGAAAAACGTACAGTTTGGAAATGTGCAGCGGGGAAAGCAAGCCTGCAAATAACAGTTGGCCATCGGACAATAATATTAACCAGTAAATTTGTAAATTTGAGGTTTTGACAGGTAAAAGGTTAGCCTGGTCGAACACTCTGTCTGGGTATTTCTGCTACAATGAAAAATATTTTAACTGCAAATTTGTGGCCGAATATGGAACAAGTTATTTTATTCTGACAAATGATTTTATCATCTGCAATACATCGTTGCAGGACATCGTCCCAAATGTCACGTCAAATTGTAAAACACGCTACCTCAGCACCATGCTCTATTCCAACGTGTTAATTTACACATTTTGAGGTGGCATCATGAAAGATTGTGAAGCCCCATTTAAACTGAATTACTGATTTGTCCGAAAAACTACTAAAATCTGAGGTCTTACATTACTGCTCGTTGTTTGTTATCTGCAAGTGTTGTGGAATTAATTTTCAGTGACACAATTTGACCCGATTAAAATATTATGCAAATTGAATGCAATCGCTTTCAAAAACTTTACAACTTCTTAAATGTAACTAAATATTGTCTATAGTTCGATGATCAAAACTCCGTTTTATAGCTTTTTTAATATTGTCTTTTTTTATGTCTGTGGTTCAAATATAGTTCCGACTATCACAGACATGTTTTTGTGTAAAGTGTGAATGTACAAATTAGTCATGCTTTGTAGTCACGACCACTTCCAATAGTACAATTCCAGTTTCATCTAATTATGCAAATGTTTTATTCAATTGACCCCAAAAATTTTCAGGGGGAACTTGCTTTCAGAAAAAGTCAAAGAATTCATTTCAACCAATTTTCAAGTTTCTGAATGTTGTGAGTTTTTACACTGACAAGCTGTCCACACGGGAGATTGTCTCATCGCTTTTCCAGTAGTTTTCCTTAGACGTTGTGGGAAAAACTAAGTGATACACAGAAATTCAAAACTTGTCCAGACGGTTGACCTGACAAATGACCTGTTAATATAGACAAAAATTATTTGTAGGCTTGGAAAGGAACAAATGGACAACTGACTAAGTGCAGCTGGGTATCAAGCAGTCTCTCAAATATTTCAGCTTATAAAGATGTTTTTTCACAGAGCTCTTAAGTTGAGCACTTAAATGTCTCATTTGTTTAAATTTGCTAACTTTGTAAACATGAAGCTAAGACTTGTCTGCACTGCATGCTGGACAAAGAGAATAACTGACAACGAGAATCAAGATACTGCAGTAGATTTTACACTTGGTAAGGAGATAAGTCATGACAGTCAAGCATAAAAGCAAGGGATTCAAAGCTACAAGCCCCAAAACCCAGTTTGGGAGGATCCTAATTAAAGGGAAAATTATTTCCTTTCAGGACACTGATATTTTATCTTTGTCCCACACGCTAGTTACAATTGATAGACACTATATCTTTCTTGACGAGAATGTTGTGTTGCCAGTTGTGTTCTATCAGGAGACACTTACAACTCTTTGGAAGCCAAATGCCACGATATTACATGACATTGTGTGGATATTTAAGCAAAGTTCTTGCTAGTCATACTTATAATCAGAGCTACGTGGCATGTAAGAAAATCATGTTACAGCTTTTGTCCACATATTATGTTACAACCAACTGAGGTGACTCTCTATGCTTTTATTGAGATAAACCAGGGAGGGTATCAAAGGGTTTATGAGTAACAAGCGATGAGGGCAAAATTAGGATGTGATGCATGAAAAGCAGCAAAATTAGACAGACGTGATTCATGAATTTGTGGAAAACTTTTTGCTAACAGTAGGCAAAAGTATGTGATGTATGGATTTTGTAAATTAAAAATGTTAATTTGCAAGAATATCACAATGCCCACTTTGCTACCCTCACATCAAGAATTCCAGTTGTAGTCAATTGACAAACTGATAATCGATATCAACCAATAACAATCAATATCAAACAAAGATTGATATCAATTAATGTAATTGATGAAAATCGAAGCAATAAAGTTGTGAGTTTGATTGTTATCGATTGCGATAGCAATCAATAATGATTGATTTAATTCATTTGGTATTGATTGTTATCAAAAATTAGTTTTGTCCTTTTGTCCTAACACTGATAAATTGAATGACAAAATTTGTCTGTAATAGTTTTTTTGAGTCATTTTATCTTCATAGCCAGTGTGTATCTTTTACAACTATCAACAACAAAAACAACTAACTGAAAGATTTTGGGCTTTACATCTATCTTTGCTTATAGTTTGTGGCACCAGAAGAAGCTCAGCCCTGAGTAGCAGCGTAAAACCCTACAGTCTCACTAGTACTGTAGCATCAGCATTTAGATAAAGCAAAATATACAATGCAGTCAGTGTTCTAGTGATTTCAGTTATTTGCATTTTTTTTTTCAATTGAATTGACAACAGATTAATTTCTGAAGATAATTATTCATTGCTAGCGATTTTTGTCAATTTAGAAAAAAAAATTCTGTAAGTTTGATTGTTATTAATTGATTTCACATATCAGTTATTATTATATCGATTAAGGGACCAATCGTTTATTACGTCCCAAGGTGTGCCGGTGGTTTTTAAGGGGGGTACAATTTTAAAACAATTAGCCCCTTTTTGGGGGGTATATTTTTCCTTAGTAAGAAACCTGAAGGGGGTCAAATTTTATGACACAGCAATGGCAGTCTATGCTAACAGGTTTTATAACAGAATCCAGTAAATAAAGGAAAATTTCTCGCTGGTGGTTCTCAAAGCGACAGTAGGGATAGAGGCAGAAACAAATTATTCCTCAAGCAGGGAACAAATATTGCCCGCATTGAGTCCACTGTATTAGATGATCAGTAATCACCCAACAATCCTGTTTTTGTGACAGCCCGCAGCAGCATTTTTACAGCTAGTAACGAGATGTTTTCGTTAAGTTATTCATACATGAAAAGATGATTTTCACCTTGATTTTGTTCTTGAAAGGTTCTGATATTTCTCTAGTCATAGAGAGACAAACTATCACAAGTAGTTCTGAAGGATGGAAGGACATTGATATCGGGTGGCTCCCAAACAAAGGAAACCATGACTTGTCTGATCAAGTAGAAAGTCAAAATAACGAAATAAAGGCACATGATCGATCCAGGGTTTTCCCTTATGTGCAAATGTGCATCTGAGACGCACTGTTTGGCTGAAAAATGGAAAGGGGACGCAAAACAGCAAGGAGAACGGGTCCTCTCAGATGCACATAGTTCAGGATGGTAGTTTACTACTGACTTAATTTAAACCTGAGTAGATCTGCGAAAAATTCTCTTGAGAATAAAATTAGAATTTGGAATCTTTGTTCTGTTTTCTTAGTCCATCTTTCAACTCCCAAATCTGGCTCATTCACTCCTTTGAATCGACTATTGCAGTACCACCTTTTGTTTTTCTCGTTCTCAAGCTTGCTCTTGCTGTGAACTCCTCGCAGAGGCTCGAGAACTAATGCGCGATTGTGAGGCATTGTGGCACACAATGCAAGATAGCGGAT